TATATATATATATATATATATATATATATATATATAGAGAGAGAGAGAGAGAGAGTACTTACAGTTTAAGTTGGATGATTGAATAATATTCGGTTGGATGGAATGTGTTTGGATCTACAGAGACCTTAAACAAGAATGAACAACTGAAATTTTTAATTCGCAACACAAAATGCAAACAGAAATTAATTCAAGAAAACCCACACAAACAAATTCAAGAAAGCTTGAAAGTAATTAAGAATGGAGTTCCTCATTTATCATATTGAAGGCACGAATCAAAAACCAGATGAACAAAAAGAGCGAAACCCATAAAGGAACACGAGTACAAGATTCAGAACAGATAAAAAAAACCAGATGTAAAACATAAATACTTCTGAATAATTAATTTGGGGATCTGCAGTAACCTTAAACACAAATTAACAATGGAGTTTCCTTTCGTATCGAACCATATATCATAAAAACAAACACGAAGCAATTTTGAGGAAAAGGAATCAGATGAAATAATCAAACCCTAAAAGATATTGAAAACCCATACGAGATCCAAAATGTTTCTGAGTCATAAGAAAGAACACATAATCGTGAACTAAATACGAGATCTAGATCAAAAACCAAAATGTTTCTGAATCAGCGGGAAAAAAACACACACTGGTGAGAAATCAGAGATTGAACTCACCGAATCAGGATCAACCAAAGACGATTCGTTCACGGTCATCGATTTCTTCAGATATTGCGATTGATTACAACGATCAAGTTGGTGAAAATGTCGTTGATCACCGAACCAAGAAACCGAATCCGTTGGATCGTCTCCGGACGGTGGTGCTATTCTTCAAACCCAGAAAAAAGATACCAGATCTTCAAATCGGAAGTCTCCTTCTGCTGTTCTTCAAGCTCTCTCTCTCTCTCTCTGTGTGTTGAAATATGGAAGAAAAGAGACGGTGATCTGTTTTAAACCCAAAACCCAGAGTATTCCTTCTACTTCTATTTCTATTTTTTTTTAAGGGGGTTGATATCCCCACCCCCTTACGTCATTTCCCACCCCCTCCTCCTCACATCTTTCCTCACTCACACCCTCACATTCATCCGAATTTTTTTAAATTTTAATTTTAAATTTATATTTTATGATCCTGTAATTAGATAATTAATTTACTTTATATCCTTTGTTTTTAAAATTTTCATTTTACACCCTTATCATATTAACACACATAATTATATATCAATTATAACATGTTTAAAAAATATATTTTTATTTTAACAAATTACATCATTATAATCGTCTTGTTAATACCTTCGAAATGAGTCCAATATTGAATAGTTTTTGAATTAATTATATTATTATATATTATATATAATATGAAAAAATATTTTTAATATTTATATTTTATACTTTTATAATTATTTATTTAATTTATAGTACATAATTTATTTTTTCAATTTTCGTTTTACACCATTATCACATTGAAAAAAATAATTTTATATTAACTAAAATTAGATCTAACAACGAAATTAACCTCTCAGGAAGCATTCTCATACCATTTATCCATCTTGTTCATCTTAACAAGTTACATTGTTATAATCGTSTCGTTAATACCTTCGAAATAAGTCCAATATTGAATAGTTTTGGACTTAATTATATTATTATATATTATATATACTATGAAAAAATATTTTTAATATTTACGATTTATACTCTTATAGTTATTTATTTAATTTATGATACATCATTTATTTTCACACCATTAATTATCACATTAAAACAATTTTCTACTTTGAGTTGGGTTC